GCGGATGGAAGACCAAACAAACCGTGAACATACTAACTTTGTTGATGCGCGAATGCCGGGGTGAGACAAATTGTGCAAGGTGGCAAAAACTTTCTCACGGAATGCCGGAGGAATGTAAGGACGGGCGTTACCTGTTGACACATCGCAATATATCGAAAAGCTACAATTCGGTAAGGTAACTTTTTTGAGATGTAGAACTTTTGACTCTTTAAGCAATGTTTGTAATTCTGTGTCGATTTCTTGCATTTTAGCGATTTCCTCATAGTCGATAGGGTTAGGCATGCTTATTGCTTCTATACGCGAAAGTACGTCGGCAGCGATATTCTCCGAACCTTTTATATGGCGAATTTCAGTGGTGAATTGTGAGATAAAGTCTAACTGCCTAGCCGGACGAGGTGAACACTTATCCAAACGCTGTCGGAATGCATACGTGAGCGGTTTGTGATCGGTGATTAAAGAAAAGTTCCGTGCTTCCAACATATGCTTAAAATGCCTAATAGCAGCATAAGCTGCCAATAGCTCTCGATCATACGCACTATAGTTCCTTTCCGCCTGCGAAAGCTTTCGTGAGAAAAATGCGAGAGGCTGTAAATTTCTATCAACTATTTGTGATAGCGTTCCACCGATCGCGAAGTCTGACGCATCAACCTGTGAAACCAACTGGGCATCTTTCTTCGGGTGTGCCAAAAGAACAGCATTACCGATTAGCTGTTTGCACTTTTGAAATTCACTCCGCGCTTCCTCAGACAAATTCAGGATTGTCTTATCATTTTTCTTAGCCCCTTTTAAATACGAAGTTAAATGTATTTGATTCTGGGCTACGTTGGGTAAAAATCGACGGTAAAAATTTAAAAATCCTAAAAATCTCTGCAAATCTTTTACCGTTTTAGGAAGTGGGTAGTTAAGTATCGGTTCCACTTTGTTCGTCAGAGGCTTGGTACCATCTTTATTGATTATATGGCCTAAAAAGATATTTCCGGAACGCCGAAAACACATTTCGAAGCGTTAATTGTCAATCCATATGAAGTTAATCTTTCAAAAACAGTACGTAGGTGAGATTTATGCTCATCTTCCGTATGACTAAATATCAAAATATCATCTAAGTAGACGTAGGCGAATTTTAGATCTCCAAGAATTTCGTTCATAAACCTTTGAAAGGTTTGAGCTGCTCCGCACAGTCCGAAATTTAAAAACGGAAATTCGAAAGACCAAATGGGGTGCAAACTGCAGTTTTCGGTATATGATCTGGATGGACTGGTATATGATGATATGCCCGAACGATATCAATTTTTGAAAAAATTGTCTTTCCGCTAAGCGTATTATTAAAGTCTTGTAAATGCGGGATAGGGTATCTGTCGGGTTCGGTGCACGCGTTTAGTTTTCGGTAGTCTCCTACTGGCCGTATGTCGCCCGAACTTTTAGAAACTACATGAAGAGGTGATGACCATGCTGATTTTGATGGTCTACAAATACCTTGATCTATCATAAATTGAAATTCTTTTTTTTACTGCTTCGTATAACTTAGGGCTTAACCTACGCGGTTTACTGTGCACAGGAGGACCGTATGTTTCGATGTAATGAACCGTACTATGTTTTACTCTACACGAATCGGATTTTAACTTCAGTACTTTAGGAAAGTCTTTCAAGATTCTGTGATATGGTGAATCACCAGATATTAACTTTACCGAAAAATAATTTTTAGAATCGGAAAGAGAACCAATACGAGTTAATTTCGTAGTATTATCGATAAGCCTACCTCGTTTTAAATCGATTAAAAGATCAAAATGCCTTAAAAAGTCGGCTCCTATTATAGGCACTGGTACATCGGTGATTAAAAACTTCCAAGAAAAGTTTCGTCTAAGTCCTAAACTCACAGTTAACAATTTTGTTCCATACGTAGAAATTCTGGAATTATTCGCGGCAAATAATTGAAGCGAATCAGGATGCATTTTCCTAAACTTAGAAGTCGGTGTCACATATGAAACATCCGAGCCCGAATCAATCAAAAAGTTTAAATTTAATCTGTTATCGTAAACATGTAAACGACATGAATGCGCGACTGCCGATGAATTTCGATCGATAGCCGCTACTACTAGTTTTCCTGGGCCGTAGTGTTCTGAGAAAAGGAACAAGGTGCTCGACATTTTCGTGCATTACTACCGAATCGCGAATGAAAATAACAATAATTGTTCACACGCTCTCGGGAATGCCCACGCGAAAAACTACGTGCTTTGTTATGTTGATCCCGGGGGAAATTATTCCTCGTGTTTCCGCGGGAGAGTCGCTCGACTTGTTTACTTAGGGCAGAGATTTCACTCCTTAAGGCCTTAAGCTCCTCGAGGGGGGCACCAGAATCGTTAGGGTTTCTGGGGGAACTGGCCGAAGCTGCCTGGACCGCGAACACGCTGTTGTTCGTTGGCGTGCGCACTTCAGCTATCTTATCAGCCATTTTTGCTAAATTGTCTAAGGATTCCAAACTTATTGATAAAATGGCATGCACCTCGGAAGGTAACCTTTGCAGCCATAATGATTTTAAAAATTCGTCAGTTATACAGTTTCCACCTAATTCTCTCTCATTTTTCTCAATAAGTGAGATGGTTTGTCGTCCCCTAAATGCAATTCAGAAATAAGTCTGCGTATTTGCTCGCTTTCCGAATCTGAGAATTCTCCTATTAACCTAGCTTTAAGGGCATCATATTTAGCCGTCGCTGGGGGATTAAATAAAATATCTGATACTGCGGAAAGAGTTTCAGGGTCTATCGAAGAAACCACGTGGTTGTATTTTGTACTATCGCTACTAATCTTCGCTAAAGCAAAGTTACTTTCAACTTGAATAAACCAAAGTTTAACATTATTTTTCCATAAAGGGGGAATTTTAACTGCCACGTGTGAGATTTGTGGCTCCTGAACCGCCATATTCGATTCCTCGTTGGTTTGGCCTTCCGATCCTGGCATGGTTGCCAATTATAAATATATCGTAAATCGTAAACTTAATGTTTTGCACTACCTTATACCTTATCAAAACAGTATCAATTTAGAATAACGAAAGACATTCAATATCTCAATAAAAGTGTGAGCACAAATATTACTCAAAGATCAATTTTAAACAATCAATAATAATTAAATTAAAACTATAATTTTAGAGCAAAACATATCACAAAAACATAATTAAGACCAATCACAGATAATTAAAAAAATTTGACCACATACCTGTAAATCCTCCTTAAGTGTGATAAACCACGTGTAATCCGTACGATAAAATGAGGAGGAAATGAATAGGGTGGAGCCTTTATCAGTCATAAGGAAGAGCATTGGCATCAAAATAAGGCATATTTTTAGTTTTTTAACAAAGATTGAGACAGATAGTCATTAGGGATCGAAACAGAAGGAGCGAGGGACAGGGTCACCAGTGAGCATGTATAAGAAGATCTCACGTTACTAGGAAAAGAAAAAAATAGTTGAATGGAGACAGATAAACGTTAATCGTCTAAAGCCAACAGTTGACCGAAAGACTTAAAAAAAAAAAATATTGAAAGATACACAAAAGGGAGGAGTGGACCGCCTGAATCAGATGTTATCAAATTAATCCTGCTGTTAGAAATAAGCAGAGATATTATTACTTTTCCATTATGCTTTATTTCCTTATAATTTTAGTTAACTATCATCCACTACAAAAGTTATGTATGTACAGAGAAAACAACATTACACACTGCGTTGGGGAGAAATCTTTGCGGACAGGAGAGGACGGCAAGAAGGTTAAGGAAGCATACTCTCCCAACACAGATACAGAGTTTACATGTCACGTTGAACGCACAAAACTGGAGTAGATTCACAGATGCACACAGACTGAAGTTGTTACTCAGAACTGCCGGGGAAAATTCTTCTCTTCCTGTCAGCCTGCAGAGTTGCCAAACAAGTTTACTGTCTTTGTTTGCTGTTTCGCCAATTGGCACTTTTCTCCATAGTTTTTGAGCCTGTATTGCCTGTTTGGCACTGCCGCTACAAGTAAAATCTTATTTTATATGCTAATCATTAGTTGATGAGTTTCATAAAATATTAATTTACTATGTTTTTAAGCTAAAAAATTAGCCTCATTTCATTCTGTTACTATTTCTTAGGCTAGAATGCAATGTTTTATATTTCATTTTTGAATAATTTAGTTAAGTAATTTTTAAGTGTATATTTCATTTTTACCTTTGTCTAAGAAAGTTATTAAATTGTATGTAAAAAAGTAATGCTTCTCTGATTAATTGAAGCATTAAGTAAATGTTATGTAATGATGGATGTATATTTGGTTGTGAAGAGCTATTGGAAAAATTGCTTTCCAATAAATGACTCACATATTTACTAAATTAATTCCTAAATAAGAACAATTTTTACATTTATTAGTCAAGTATAATAAAATTTTTGGTAATGTTGAAGAAAGAATGTTTATAGCAAAAATAAGTAATAAGATATTCTTGATCTTTTGCAGGATTGCTGTGATTTTGCTAAAATATTTAATAATGTTTTTACAAAAATTTTGAATTCCTTCACTTTTTAACCTAATTAATTTCCTTTGTTTAATTTATTTTTAATGAAATGGAATTTGAAAAGATTTCAGTTAATTTTGTTTTAAAAATAATGTGCATAAATTTTGTAGATATAAATAAAATCTATGAATACATTTGTTATTATAATTAATTGTTTGAATTAAAATGAGACATAAGTTTTCTGTTTCATATTTCCTCAGAATTATAATATGCATTTCTTTGATTACGGAGAAAATAATGAAATAAGTTATTTCCCTTACATGAATTCCATAGCAATTGATCTTCCCCTTAAAATTCAGGAATCTAACTGAAAAAAGTACGAATTGATATATAAATCTATTCTATATTTTTCTTTAATCTATTTTGTAATTCTTATTCTACATAGTTATTTCATAATATGTAAAATTAGCATTAATTTATTAACAACTTTTAACACATTTTAGATAAATAATACCTAATTTCTTTTAGAAAATTTCTGTGGAGACTCCTGTTGAACTTGACAAGGAAAGGCTGATTGAAAAAGTGATAAAACTCCAGAAGACTTTAGCTAAGAGAAATGATAAGATTGAATTCCTTGAAGACCATATAGAACAACTGGTAAAGGAAATGAAAAAAAGGTCTAAATTTGTAGATTTGAAGACAGTTTAACTGAATTTCCTCAGTTGAGCATATTTTGTATTTACCTCATCTATTTTTTGATGAAATTTATGTACAAATATGTTCTTATAAGAGTTTAAAATTATCTCTTTTCTGTGTAAGTATTTCTTTCTCTTCACTTATAAAATGTTAAAATATTTTAGTGTTTTCATTAATTTTGTGATTTAACTAATCAGGACATTACAGCAGTAGTAACAAATAATAAATGATGGGACATTCTTTCCATGAAGAGAAATTGTTTTCAATAATCTGTGTTTTATAACAAAATGAATGAAAAGGATATTTTAAAAGGAATTTATTTCCAGTTGCTCAGAATTATGCACAGCACTGTAGAATATGAAATTTTTCCATGATAGACGTCATCTTTGGAAAATTAATTTAGAAAATCCGGAACTCTTTATTTCAGAGTCACAACTTTTTTTGATGTGGAGGAAAAGTTACAGCACTAAACTGAACTCTTAACTAGCATTGTACTGGCATACTGAGATTTGTTTCCTTTTTTTATATATACCTGTTTGAGTATGGGTTATTGTATTAATATTTCATATATTATGTGCTTTGAGAAAATCTTCATGTTCTCTTATATATATTCATTGTCTAAATTTTTGGCAAATACACTGATTTGTAAAAGTCAAGGAGCAAATGAAAATCTGATAACTCAAAAAGTAAGCAATCAAATCGGATGAAACTTGGTCATAATATTTATTATACTACTTGTAACTTAAAAACAGAAGAAAATGTTATACAGATTAATTTATATTTATGATGCTAACAGTAACATAAAAATTTCCTGAATTCATACAAACAAATTAAATATAAAAATATTCTTAGTATTTAATATGATCATGCTGAACAGCAAAACATGCCTTATGGTGATGTCTCTTTAATATATAGTGGTGTACATATATATTAAAGAGACATAAGTGTCCTGAGAGCATCCCACACATGCTAAATGGGATTAAGGCCTGGAGAGTGTGCTTGCCATTCCATTTGAACTATAGTTTCTACTTCGAGAAATTGGTGTAATATGTAGGTGGGTATATCTGCTTCTAAAATGAAGGTATTGCTAATTGTGGCAGCTTACAGAACAACAATAGGATCCCATATGTCATCTCTGTACCTTGGAGCATTGAGAGTTCCATCTGACAGCACATACAGGTTTGTGTTACCATTTAAAAATACGCTGTGCCATACCTCCTGCATAGGTAGCCTTTTGTTAGATGGAAGATACCGAAAGTTTGCTTCTCTCAGTGTGTAAACACATTGCAAATAACTCTATAAAGCAAAGCAGGACTCATCAGTGAACAGAACATACTTTCCCTGATTTTCAATCCAGTTTACATGACTACTTGCCCAATTCTCTCTTGTGGTGGTAGGTAAGCAGGTCATACAATGCTGCTCACCTAGCATACAGACCTCTTTTGTGCAGCTTTCTGTATAATGTTATGTCTGATACTGTCTTTTCTGTAGCAGAAATAAGCATGGATCTAAGCTGATATGTAGTTGCAGTCTTATGATGTGCAGTAAGTCTCAAATACCAGTCATCTGCAGAATGGTAACTATCTTTGGTAGGTTTTCAAGAGGCTGAACCATTAGTTCAAAATTAGTTCCAAAACTGGCATACCACAGAATGGTTGACATTTAGCCATCTTGCAATATTAGACTGCCATTGTCCTGCTTCTAATTAGTGTATGGCTGTATATCAAGATTCTGCGGGCAGATGTTGCCTTCACTTCTCTTTTACACTTTAGCTAACGCAAAATTGTTTACCATTGTTCATTAAATTGAAATTGCTTCCTAAACAGCTGGTTTTAAGGTGTATCATATTTACATAAAGCAATAGCAGTGTCTTTTTTTTTAATGCTACTTGATGTAACTTGCTTCGATTCGTAACATATCCGAGTTTCAAGAATTGTAAACTACTTTTAGCTAATTTATCATAATTTTATTATTTGTTGCTTAGCTTTTGTGTAGATAATAACTGAGCTTTTGTCAATCCAAATCAGGTACTGTAATAACCCATATCGTAAGTGGTATATTTAGAATCAGAACAAAATACTGTTAATGATCATGCTACAAATTTAGAGAAAAACTCTTGATTCCAGATTTTACAAATTGCAACTCTTGTAGAAAATGCCATGATATTGGTATTAATATTTGAAAACTATACACACAGGTAAGTCAAACCATCAACACCAAAACAGCACTACCCAAACCTTTGTAATATTGATGTGCCCCCCAGTAAAACAACTTTATAAAATTAAACTGCATCAAAAGTCTCACACTTTGGTGTTCATCTCAAACCATACCTAAGCTGTCAGAGAATTCCAAATGGGAGTGAAGAAAATGCAGCTTAAAGTGACATGTTGCAACCTAACATCTGTAAGATTGGATAAGTTCTTCAGCTTCCTCTTTATAGTTTTCCGATTTCTTGTTATCTAGGATGTCGCTCTAATATTTTTGAAGGCAGCACACACTCTATTTTCTTTTCTCGAAAGCGAAGTTTCAAAATTTTCATCTTTAAAAAGTTCCTGTATTTGCAACCCAATGAATAGTCCTTTAAGCTTTGTTTCATTTTTGTGCAAGAATTTCCATCTCAAATAAAGAAAAGCATTTCTTTCTCTATTTAAGGCTGTAACAGAAATTTTTAGATCTTTTTTATGTCCATAGGAAGGACATAAATTTTCTTCTGCTTTACTAAGGGTTCATAGGGAACGTTTTTCAGACCATGCACCATGTCTTCATGTAATGGCCATTCCTCAAAGACACAATGTTGGTTTCTGGCTCTGCTGTCTTATTTAAAAAAAAAAAAAAAAAAAAAAAAAAAGTTTGGTGTAGCCACTCTGCAGTTCTGTAAGTAGTACAAGAGCTTTTAATCAATCCAGATATTCTAAATATGATCTTAGTATTTTATGCTTTGAAATAATATACACATATTCTCGTATGTTCCTTTCATATTTACAGCATGACCAATGGGAACAGATGGTTGTTTGTTTCCATTAAACAATAAATCTGCCTCAGGCTTGTCTTTGAAGGGTCAATAAACAGTTGCAACTCTAGAGGTTTATAGGTTTCATTCATTAAACACAGAATATCATGACAATAAACTAAGTCAGTGTTTCTCAACTGGATTTACTCCAAGGACCGGTAAATTTAATAATTTGGTACATTCTCGCAGACCAGTAAGTTTAATAATTCAACCCATTGGCACATTTTTTTCACATAATTTAATCATGACAAAAATTTTTAAAGCATTTTATTTGTTATAATTTACATATGTACATTCAACTTACTTAAAATATTGCATCGAGAATAAAACTACCAAAACTTAACTGAAACTCTAAGAAAATCCCAAAATGAATGATATATTCATTTTTTACTACAATGAATCAAAATGTAAACAGCATAGGTAGATACAAAATAAGTTGTACCAGAGATTGTTTCTTCTTGAAAGCATCAATCTTATTTTAGAAGTTGAAAACGATATTATTTTTACCTTGAAGACTTGAATTTTATTCGTTTATCATAGAAAGTGTGTCTTATTTTGTATTGGAAAGATCCAAATCACGAATAAGATTGAGCTTTTTCTGAGATATAAAATGGGGCTGTTTATTGCTTCTACATTCATAATCATCTTTCTCTTGAAAACTTGGTTTCAAAATCATTTAGCTCATCTGATTCCAAGTCGATTTCATATTTTTCTCGAGGCTTAGGGACAGGTATGCTAGAAGTGTTATGAGTTACAGGTTTCATGGCTGAGGTGATATTAGGCTATTCAACTTTTTTATGTTTGCTTTTAGTAAAAAACAAAACCTGAGGATTTTTGTTAAGCAAAAGTAGCAATCATCAACATGATTCTGAGTTTTCCGCCAAATCATTGGCACTCGAAAATTCATAAACTTGTAAGTACCTCATAGCCATTTTGTTAAAGTTCTTGAGCAAGTGCAGCAGCAAATTTTGGGAGCCCAAGTTTTGACCTGATCACCAACTTTGGACCCAAAATATAACTCGTAGGCTTTTCTTACAAGTGGGCTCAGTCTTCCATTGAGCTTTTTGTGTCACTTCACCAGATATATAACAAAAAATGTTACGTTTGTTCAGACAATGTTGCAACAACATCGTTTACACACGGCAAACACTACTACAACACTCGCTATTTCCTAGTTCTTTGCACTCCACTCGCGATCATCCAACAACTAGCCAGCTGATTATAAACCCATTTCATACATGTGGTGTTTTCTAGATAGATCGGGTACAGAGAGTACTAGAAGCAACGACATAATTCCTATATTGCCACATTATGTACAATTTCCCTAAAGTTAGAAAAAAACATAGACTTGGCAATGCTGAACCCCGGTATGGTATAAGAACTTTTAAATCACATAGGTACATTCTTATACCTGCTTTGCAATTAGTCAAGATAAGTTGTTGATGTTCTCGAGATTTTGCTACACGATATGACAATTTACAGGTTAATGTAAGGGTTACATAGGTTGAAATTATCAAAATAACACATTAGTTTGGCGGGAAGGATTTTCATGCCAAACAGTGTTATTTGAGTGTCACACGGTATTCTAGGGATATCTGCTTGTGGGAAGCGATATTATGTATGCATAAGCAAACCTCACACAGCCAAATCATTCCACTTACAAGAATAAAACTTCGTGTGAGCTTCAAATGTTTTGTGGTTTTAACTACTATATCAATTCGTCAAATCAAGCTTGAAATCAAAAGAAAAAGTGATAAAATTATGTTACACAATTTAGCGCAAAATGACATTCAGTCATTGGCAGTAAATAAATAACAAAATACTTTTTAAGAAAATCTATTGATTTATTGCCTCTTGAAATACTTTAAGTGCTTTGTATTACTCTAAAAAGAAGTCGGATATCATTTGTATATAACTACATTTTGAATCTGTTATTCCCATCATAGCCAGCATATTCAAATGCAATACTTGTTCATTGCCACTGCCTTATTTGGAAAGAATGCATAAAAATTTGGAAATCTAAAGCCGATGCCTGTCTGATTACAGTATTTTCAGTAGTAAAAACATGGCTATCATTGGAGTTTCTCTGTGATGCAAATGTGAATTAATACTGTTAACTGACATGTAGTGATGTCGTTTTCGGGTAAGTAATGCAGCTTTATGAAACTGAGTGTAGTCTGGACAAAGACTGAAAAGTTTATTGGAATGGTGGAAATGGAGATAACCATGAAACAAGTTGTGATAGATAAATTTTAGTGCATGAATTTATGATTCTAGTTAATGACAATTGGAATTATCTGAAAAACTGCATAATGATTATGTAGTTCATTAAAGATTGTAGACACAGTTTACCAATTGTTAACTGATTTGATGCTAATCTTAATGGCTGAAGTTCCAAAACACAGTTTCATCCTGATTTTGAATTCCAGCTGCTGACTTCCCTTGATCAAGTTTTTTTTAATCATTTTTGCCATGACTTGAAACCAGTTTTCCTTATTCAAAGAAGACATATACACAACTTAGGCAGGTAAACCCTAAAATTTTGTCATAACTAAACTAATTACACTGGTCTACTAGTATTGTATTAAATAACTAATTAATACATTCTCCAGCTGTTTTATGTACAAGTTTGCTGCGAGATCTCAATAGCATTCGATCTTTTTTAAATTGCTTTAAATCCTAGATTGAAAAGTATAGTAGTGACTACAGTCGTGGTTAGTATTTATAGCATGTGCTTGTAAAGCAGACTGATATGCTTTCACAATTTGTATGCAGAGTTTATAAAGCCTACTGCAAGACATAAAACTTATTTTAGGGTTCAGTACATATTTAGAGCATTACAGTGCCTTACTGATATTTGTCAAAGTGATTTACTGATATGCATTGAAGGAAATGCATCATCTGTGAATGTAATATGAAAGAAGAATTGCACCATTAAAGCAACGTATGTTCAAAAATGAAGGATATCACTTTTCTTTCTAACTTTCCCACCACTAAAACTACAACCAAAATCTATATATATGGCTAATTAATTTAACTGTTACAAAGTACTCTGGAAATGTCACTCTTAGGAGGTTTGTGTTCACAGAGAGCTTTCTAAGGAAAGTTCATGTTCATAGTTCATGTTTATATTACACATGGGGCAAAAACATGAAAACCCCATATTTAGCTGTAAACCATACCCATGACAAACTACCAGCGTTCAGTGCTCCTATCTATTCAGCCACTGCTAGACTGAAGCATATGGAATTAACAATAATTTGCACTCAGTAATCCCACTGTAATGGTAATGAAGAAAAGCAGTTTCCTCAAGTTAAGAAACAAAGGTGATTTACAATGAAAATTATTAGTAATCCCACTGTATTGGTAATGAAGAAAAACAGTTTTCTAGAGTTAAAAAACAATAAATATACAGCAGCAAGGAAGATTTCAGTATACATTAGATTGGCCTGCCATAGAAATATGGTATTTTGTACAAATTTAGTAAACTGTTCTTGAAATTTGGAGTCCTGCGCTAGCAGAAGTATATATATCTAAACGAGTTTTTGGAAGTTGAAGCTGCGACATGTCTTCCGAGCTAGTGCAAGCTCAGTGAGGTTTAAACAGAGAAAACAAGTTTCAACTTGTAAGTGGGTAGTTATATCCACCTTTTTAAGTCTGTTTCAGATAGGCGTGCATAATGAAGACTTTTCTTTTATAAACAAGGACCATGCAGCTTAATATTGTTAGAACACCGAGCTTAAAATGAGGACATAAATTGAATTTAAGCACAATGTTCTCTGCATCCAGTTCCACATGCTCTTCTTTAGTGGGTTGCAGTTAGCTGGATGCAACTTGTAGACATTGAGAATAATAGGTCATGTGATGTCAGTTGTCCGCACAGGATATTCTCTAAAATCATGACCAATGTGGTAAGTTAAAGGCCTTTTGCCAAGGTCCTTTTTTGTAACCAGTCTATGCTGTCTCGCAGCTAATGACATAAAAGCCTTTTTAGCATAATGAAGAGATGCCATGTGTTGGAGTGTCATCTGTTCTGCTGGAACTACTATCAGCGTACAGAAATAAAACTCTGCAAGACATCAAGCTCCTGGAATATTGCCATCTGTGTTTGATTTGTTTCAAATCAGTCGATTCTACCCCTCATAGACTCATCAATGTAGTTCATTGGGCCATATTTATTTTGTACAACAAACTGTCCATATTGCCAAAATGCACACATGCTCTCCTTTCAGCTCTAACCCTTCTTTTTACAATGCTAGTGCATGCTGTGTGATTTAAATTATTGCCCTAGCTGCACAATCTTCTGCAGGCAAAACTGTGAATCTCATTGGTTACTTGGATTGCACTCCTTTTTATTATGGTAAAATACATCTGTGGGGAAGAATATCACATGAGATTTTCTAAGGGAAACTGACCTGTTTTATATTACATACAAGAAAACCACAGAAGCATATTATGGCCAGTCCATTGAACTATTAGAAATAAAACTCAGTATTAGGCAGCTTTTGCCATTCTGTTATTGTTGCTAAGTTGTATCTTCTCTGTTAACTATATAAAGCTTCAGTCCAAATCAAGTGTCCTTGCACAAAATGCCTTTTCTTTTATCTCTTTTTATTATGCTTACAAACAGCAGTCTTCTGATGACACTAAACAGTCAAATGTTATCAGGAATGAAAACCAAACTTTACTAATTTTACTATGATTAATATAAGTTAAAAATGTTAATTAGTTCTAAGTTTTTAAGCCTATAGGAATGCACACTGCTGGCCACTGTAAATGCAACACCCTGAAGGAAGCATGCAAATAACATGAAATTTACAACATGCATTAGTGGAGGTGAGATATGCAAATGATTAGAGTTTCAGCGCAGACACACATCACGTGCACTTGTGGCGGCACTTCAAAGTCCTATTTAAGGCTTGGAGTTTTGAACGATTTCAAGTTTGGTAATTGTGATTTTCTTGTGCTTTTTTCAAAAAAAAAAAAAAAGATCAATTATGCCTTATAGTAAACAGCGATCATCGTTTGATCAAGTATCCACATTAACTTACCACATTGTATTTAAGTATTTAACTTACCACATTGGTTGACAGAGGAAGGATAGTGGCCTACCGAGAGTGTGGATTATCTTTCAGGGAAATCAGTAGTTGTGTTGGACAAAACCAAACAATGGTATTGTGAACATGTGACCATTGGATGCAGGAGGGTACGAAAGGGACATTGGATGCAAGAGTGACATTCAATGTTGACATCACATCCAGTGGGTTGCGGCACATACGACCATACATAGCACAGCACATTCATCATCCTCCGGGTCATTGCAAGAGTGACCATTGCTTCGTCTACCCTTGATCCAAAATCACAAACTTTGCCACCGCCAATGGTATCATGAAAGAAGGATACGGACAGCAGAATAGAATGTAATTGTCTTAACTGATGAGTCACGCTTCTGTCTGCAATACCACGATGGTCGGATTCGAGTCTGGAGACACCGTGGACAGAGGATGCTGAACAGCTGTGTTATGTACCGTCATTCTAGTCCTGCATTGGGTATTATGGTATGGGGCGGTATTGGATATCTCTTCCACTTCTCTAGCACGCATTGCCGATACTTTAAACATCTCCGAGGTGTTGGAGCCAGTTGCCCTTCAGGGCTTGCCCACAGACATATTTCAACAGGATAATGTGCGACCACACGCGGCACGCATTGTCCAAGGGTTCTTCGTCAATCGCCAGATTGAATTGCTTCCCTGGCCGGCTCGCTGTCCGGATCTTTCGCTGATGGAAAACATCTGGTCCATGGTTGCTGAACGATTGACCCAGATTACATTCCCAAGCTGCCACACCAGATCAACTTTGGCAACGTGTGGAAGCTGCTTGGTCTGCTGTACCCCAAGAACACATCCAAAGCCGCTTTGAATCAGTGCCGAGGCGTGTGGCAGCGGTTATCTCCAACAATGGCGGCTACTCTGGCTACTGATTCTGGAAGGAACCACACTTCCCAGAAGTCTATAAATTTAATCATTTGATACTTGGTCAACATGTTATCTACTAAATAAATTTTGTTGTGATGTCTCTTGTCTTTCTTGGTGTTGCAATTTGGGTGCCAGCAGTGTATTTAACCAAGGATTGTTGTTGTGGTCATGGAATGTGAATGGTTTTTACCTTTTAATAAATACTTTTACCATAACTTGTCTGTTACCTAAATTTTTATTGTCTTTCTCATTTGTTATCTAATTCTATGAGAAACAGATTTTGGAATATGTCTGAATGTTAATTAGATATAGAAGTTATTCGTGAATCTGTCTGGGAGAAATTGATAACCAGGTGACCAAAATTGGTGTGGATTTAATTTCTAATTAACTTCAAAACTAATCAGTCTTTCAGTTTTACTGTGATTTTCATCGAATTTCAAATGCCATAAAGAAATGTATTTAGCATTAAAGATACGGTAAGTCAAAATTTGTTGGTAGGTGTAACATAGTCATAGACTATAATCTTATGCCATTCTATCTGCATATTAATACTGTGAAATATTTGTCTGTGAGAAAAATGATATAAACTCCATTTTGCGATAAACATTCATCCTACATTTAAAAATAATTGGTATCCTGATACCTTATCCATTCTTATGATACTTCAAAGTGCATAAAAATGGAAATGACCTTAATTATGCATACAATCTAGGTGAACCATATATAGTATTTATGAGAATCTTCAGTGAATATAATTTTAAATAATTAAGCTGACTTGCCTATTTTAAATAGTGTATGAACAAGAATTTTTATTATAAAATCATTTCTTGGTGTACTTAAGACCTTCTAAATGCCTAGATGTAAACTGAGACAAAATCTTGATTATTAAAAAAAATACTGTGATGAATCATTATTATTAAATAAAGGAGGAAGTGACAACTTGACAGAAGGGGAATTGAATTTTATTCAGATATGACAGCCAAAACAGGAACACTCTTGACAAAAATACACCTCAATCGCATTTCATTTGCATTGACAACAGCAAAGTTTCCATTAAAATTAGAGACTAGGCTAGGAAACTTTGAAAAATGAAGAGCAAGAAAATTATGTTTGAAAATTCACATATATTTTGATTTATTTATTTATTTATTTTTCATCAGCAGCATAACCTGACAGCAGTTCTCAGCAGAATAGTCAAAATACACACCTCTTTTCATCTTAGTCAGAAACAATAGAATAAAAATGTATATGATAAAAAACTGTGAATTTTATGAGACCTGAATTAAGGTCTCCTTTTTGTTATTTAAAGTAAAAAAATGCTGCTAAGAACTGCTGCAAATAGCTGGTTTGAGTATCACAATACTTGAAAGTAAATCTCTCGAATTATAAGTGAAATATATTACAAAAGTTAGATAGTACTGCTCTAACATTTCTAAATTTTAAGTTAATGATACATAATATCTCTTCATTTTTCATAGCTGTAGTCAAAGCATATTTAACTATAAATAACTCTTTAAACATGGCAACGGAAAATAATGTTTCACTGATGACTATAAATTTTTCAAAGAAAATAAAATTAATAATTTTGTATGAAGATGAAAGTGATAGCTTGAAACTGACTATGGTAAAAGTCTTTTTATGGGAAAAAGATTGACTTTCATGTTTCTAAGTCATAAATATTCAGTCTGATACACTTCAGGATGTAGTTGGGACATTTTACCTTCACTGACATCATAAAAAGAGAATTGGATTCTATAACAACAATACTGGATAATACATTCTTACTTGGAAGAGCGAATAATTTATTATGTCACAAAATGTTAACATATATATACAAAAACGTTAAAACCATTTAATATTTATTGCAAATTGGTTTATTAATAAACTCAATGTTTCATGAAAGCACTACAAGGATAAATGTATAACTTTGTAACATTGTTTATTTCTCTAATTTCAACTTAAACGCAGGTTTTTAACAATTTCACAATCTGAAAATTTCTGTTAAAAACACAATAAAAAGGAATTATTAATAAAAGTATTCATATCTCTTAAATACAAAATGACCCCAATCATTTAAAAAAATAAAGCATTTTAAAATTTCCCACTAATCTGATAATCTGTGACAAAGTAACGAAATAAAAAAATATTAATGCAAAAAGAAAATGAACAATAAAAACATGGAGTTTCTTCCTGTTACTTGAGTAAGGTTAATAAAAATGTTTCAGGGACAACCTGTATTGCACAGTTATTTATAGAATTAGAATATTGAAACTTGATAGAAACATTACTTCATGTTTGAATATTTATATAGAGAAAATTCAAATATAACTGCTAAGAAACAATAACATAATGATGTAAAAAATTCAACACATTTAAAACCCAATTATTTTATTGCACAGGCAAATGAGGTTTTCATGACTTTTTCAGAAAATGTAAATCAAAGGAAGACAATCTCATTACCAATCAGTTCTAACAATAGAAATGAAATTTATAATTTCAGTTTCTCCCTAAACTTAACGATCAATTAAATAGTTTTGCATCTACCCGGCAAATTAGCATACTACTGCACTCGTTAAAAGATAATTTTTTATATTCATGGATCTGTTTCTGTTAAGAAAAAAATCGCATTATCTTAGAGATGCTTTTGAATGTAAAAAAATTATTTCATATAAACATTCAATTATGCGCTTACACTAATTTACTCTTAGATTAAATACTTATATATGACATATTATTTACAAACCGAAAAGATAAACAAAATGAGACCTGTTTTGAACAGGAAGAACTAAAGCCACATCTAAGGCATTTGCAGCAACACAAGTTTATATTTAAATTAAATAATTGATTTATATAAGCAATATCTAAAGAAATGCACACCAATATAGCCTTGAACATGAATTGATATACAATAAACTCAACACTATCACACTACTCACGTTCTATTCGCCTAAGATTTGTTGTAGTGCGAGCAGTGCTAGTGTTATCAATATTGCATTCAGAGAGTGGTTAGACTCGTATAAAACACAATCTCGAATAAAGCATTTCAATTAAAACAAAAAGATGGTATAAGTGTATTACTTAAAAAGTGCTTGTAGCCTAATTGATGAAGTACATATTCGTCATTCAGATTTTGGATCAGCTAATTGAAATAATTTCATATTAGCTGATGTTCAAGGCTATAAGCACTGTAAAATTTAATATTTTTGGATTTTGCACAGAATTCTTTTAAAGCAAAGGAAAGAAACATAAATCAAGCCTTTCAGATAACCTACACCAAGCAGCATGTAGTGAAAATGAGACACATTACTGCATCCAATCTTTTGCACTTCACGCGCTTAGGTGACCAAACTCAGATTAGGGTTGTGCAATTTGTTTATATTAAAGGTTTGATTTCTCTTTTATTCTTCAATTGAAGACTAGCTATCAGCGCACGGAGCTTAAAGAATGCTGAATGAGAAAGTCGTATGCGATTGAGACTTTGGTAGCTATCTGTGCATAACATTTAAGGGTGTAAACACTATCACATTTTATCACATCACACAACTCTTAATTTAGAAAACTAAGATGGAACGTCACTTTCTCAAGTACAATTTTGGCATCATATCACTAAATGCACTGATTGTTGTTGTCTATCAACTCAGATGGATTTCATTGTTCCCATTCCATTCCTCTTGTACATAACAAGTCCAGCTCACGCTTCATGTCCCTTTGGAAACAGATTTATCGTGTGAGTAAGAAAATGTTCACGAGCATGACAAATAAATGACCGTAATCACAGATATCTGAATCAAGCATGGTATGATGATACTGCAGATCTCTGTAGAACACCAATATTTGATTTTCCCCTATATATAGCTATATATTTATATCATCTTTTTTGTACAAAGATGAAAAAGAGAACAGAAAACTTTGAAATTTTTTCTGCTGTACTCACAATTGGCATTGGTAGTGGTTTCAGGGAGAATGTTTTCCACTTATGAGCAGGAGATTATTTCAAGTGATTTACAAAGATTTAAGCTCATTCTGCACTTCATTCTATACACATCCCTAAAATCATGTCTTTCAAGTTTCATGCCACCGGCCTGAAGCTTTTGGTTCTGAAAACCACTGAATAAGAGGATAGTTTGTAGGGAAAAATGTATTTGTCTCCTGCTGAGCACCACCTCAGGAGATTCTGTTCAAGTGAAAGATCCATCAGAAGTTTAACGTCTGTCTTTTATAAGATTAAGATCAGACGAGTACTGCACTGGTCACAGCGGACTAGGCAAAGGCGGAGGTCTAGGACTTCCATAAAGCAACATGCACACACGAAATTCACGGCACATTGCAGGAGCACTGACCAGGTCAGCATTAAATTGCTAAAACTTATATTCATGGATTGAAGAACGAAGAATCACAGACATTATTCTGCCAAGATTTTAAATCCTTACTTTTCATTTAGTTTTGGCCCAAGTCCATAAACGGAAGGACTTTAATAACAGGTTATTGCACACAAATATTTTATACTGCACCAATGGAATGGATTCAATCTTCAGCTCTGTTAGAGTCTCTCTATGCAACAATATTTTCAATTTTAATGTTTTTTTTTTATTAAATGATGTCACACAACTAGTAACTACTCTTTGAAATAGAAACAGCAGAGAACCACTTTACCTATGTGGCAGTGGATGTATGAAATGATAACTGTCTAATTTACAAAAGCAATCAAATTAATAACAATGCTAAAATTATAAAACGTAAATAAATGTGTGGAAGCAGCAACAGAAAATATACTTAAGAGAAATAAAAATCTTTGTTAAAAAGTAAAGACTTATCTACATGAGAGACAGTAGAAGTTTGGTTAATAGCATTTTAATACTGAAGGCCTCAGTCTATTTTATAAGCGTTATTTGGAGAGGAGGGCTCTTGTTTGATCCCTTTTTGGGAAAAGGCGAGTAGGGCATTGAGGCTGTTGGAAGCTCCTTTCCCCATGGGCTCAGGAGAGGAAGTGATGTCAACAACAGGGGAATTGCTGCCTCCAGTCCCATGTTGCTGGTGGTGATGTTGGTGGTGATGATGATGGCTAATGCCATTCGTTCCATTTGTCATGGGCATAGCAAAACCATCTACAGAATGAGATGAGGCACTGATTGGGATGCTAGTATTATTGTTGTTATTGTGGGGTTCAGAGGAGCATGCTGGACCATTCATTGCAGAAGATGACATAGTACGTCCATTTTGAGCAGATGGCGATGATGCAGGAGCGTTTCCACCATTATTACTATTAGTATTGTTATTATTTGTAGTGGAAGGTGAGGGAGTAGATGCTGGAGGAGGATGACTCATAGGAGTAGGAGCTCTAGAGCCACCTCCAGTTGCAGATGCTGTTGATATTGAATAGTCTCTGTCAAGTCTGGGAGGCCTGCCTCTGGGACGACTTCCAGTCTCAGGTTTTGAATTATTTGAAATATTTGGAGTAGGACCATTAGATGTTGTACTGTTGTTATTTCGAGGTGGGCTAACATTAGGAGGAGCCAAGGCAGAAATTTCACTTTCTTCTTTAATTTGGTTGGCTAATTCTTTGACTACACGAAGACCTTCATCCATCAGAGTTTCCTGAACTAGCTGCTTAGTAATTTGCGCACTGGTCTTCTTAACCATCTTCATTGTTCCAAAAACATCTGTTGTGTGGACAGATTGATTTGAATCCTGTGATGGTGAGTCATGAGCATCATGACTCAGAGTAGGAGAGGATGCATTGCTGTAGGCTGAAAACTGTGAATCTGAAATTAAAAAAGAATTAGCAAATGTTTCAGGTATTATTTAAATTATGTTTTGGAATATTAAATATGAATAATTTAATTAAGCAGACTAATAATATTTGTAAGTATAAAATAAGAGTTTATATCGTTTAATAAATTTAGCATTTTCATGCAGATCAAAATTAAAGTAAACTTCTGATTTTTGAATGGAGCACATTATTTTTTTTCATGGAAGGTGGTGGCAAAGGTGGCAAAGGTGGTCAATCTTCAATACCCTCAAACGTCAATCTGCATCTTGAAGATGCAGGCCGTACTATATGTTAAATTTTATTTAAGAATATGTCTGAAAATGATACACTCATTGGTTTCTTCAAGATCTCTCTATTGATTCCAAATAGTTGTCAAAAAGTAGTCCTAAGTTGATTAGAAATAAGAAAAGGTACATAAATCCCTTTAATAGTAATAAATTTTGTTAATATACCTTCAGATTGCATAAAAAATCTTCATGGGCTATCATTTGGGCACCACAGCCTTAAAGATTTATGACACAGAAAATACTGCACTAGAACACACTGGTAATAATTTTCAGATAGTTAAAAGTATATATCAATGATTTCTAAGAAAACGTATTTTATATAATTGAATTAGTCAGAAATATCAGAATTATAGATTTTGAGGCATTCTTTTTCCAAATAATATTTTTTCATACAACAAATATATGAATTTGTAATATAAAGAAAGTACTTAAGACACAAATAAACTCTAAATTTTATTTATTCAATTAATTTGAAACCCTTCAGTATAGATTATAGAATGCACAACTAACTTCCATAACAAAACTGTGAAATATGTCTTCTACACTACATAAGTTAAAGAAGCTTTAAAGCAAATTAACATGTCTTCATGTCAGAAGGATGCACGGCTTGCAGTATCTGATATATTCATTATCATATTCTGATACATTGAGTATAGTCTATTGCATATATGACTTCTTCAATATATTTGGACACTCGATGAAATTTTGTAAAATAAATACTCAGCTAATTCCTGAAAGTCACATTTTCTGCTCGCACTACTATTACCCTTTATATATATATATATATATTATATATATATATATATTCCCACAGGAAGTCACATGGATTAATAGTATCAGGGTCCTGTAGTAACCACACTGAATCTCCTGAAAACGTTTTCGATGTCAGTGGGGCATCACACGAATCTCAAAATATTCATGCAAGGAATTCAAACTCCCTCTCTATCTAGAATAATTTCAGAGAAGCGGATCCCAATCTCAGAAACGCTCTTAATTTTCCATGTAAACATTCACTAACCTCAGACAAATTTAAGAGCAGTTAGTGAAAACTCATAAAAAAGTGTGAAAGGCAAAAAAGTGAAGTGGTGAAAAACACAAAAGTGAAGATCTGCTTGCTTTGAAAAGCTTATATGCCAACAAGAAAAACTGAAGGTAATTGGGCATGTCTCTGACTATATATATTTTTCAGGAAAAATTGTATTTTGATTTTTCGTGTGTGACATTTTATGCATCAGTTAGTACATGCAGAAACTATGTAAAATTATTCTTGGCTGATCAGTTAATGTAAGTGAAGTTCCTAAATGTTAGAGATATGCAAATATGAATATGTTTATTTTTAATCAAATTAATTAAGTTGAATAAACATGTGAACTAAAATCACATAAAAAATGTGATGTACGATGATGCCGAAAATTTTAGGAGTCTCCGAGTCCCTGAACATATACATTTAATTCCTGAACTGCACCTTAAAAAATATACATATGGATATAACAATATAGTATAATGTAACCTCCAAAATACTTTTTTTGTCCACCAATACACAGATTATGATGACATTCCAATTTTGGAAGTAGGCCTGCAATTCATATTATCGGTTTCATATTTGTTGGCTATCAGTTATAATTAGAAAATCCCTGCATGTTCAGGTCATCCTTTTTTTTTTTTTTTTTTTTTTTTCTGAGACTGCTAGGAAGTACAGGAAACTAAGTCAATACAATAGGCAAGATGTGATCTAACTGGTGATCGTTTTTTAGCCAAAGAGACTTTCACGAGAAGTTCATTGCAATTATGTGTGTGAGGTAGTTTTGCAAAATTTTTCTCATGGTCATTTCTTCAGTTAAAGCATTAGCATTCTAGATAAATTTGTCATTTTTCAGTTATTATGCTCATGCTATTTGTCAGAGCATTTTGCTTCTTGTTCATGTTAAATTAAAACCATCATTGTTGTTTTAGCTGTTTGTTTCTAGGGGGTCATCCATTATGTTAACTCAAACACGCTCAAAATCTTCATAGCATCTTCACTATGTATGGTTTTCAACGGTTCTAAACATTTTAACAGAGCCCTTTCCTATTCTCATAGGGAATTTAATATTAAGACCATGTTCTGAATTTCAGTCAATCATTTTTATGCCAAAGTACACACAGAGATATCTAGTCCCTTCCCAATAACTAGCACATGGCTCTATCAGCTTGAAATTAATGCTCATATTTTTTTATCCTATGCCTGTCTTTGGCAATTCTGCCATTAGTCAACGAGCAGCCCAATAAAATGATGCGAGTGTAAAAATGCAAGTGTAAAAATTAGTCTTGATAGAGTTGTCTGTAATTAAACTACAGGGCAATTCTTGAGGTGCTTACCATCCATATCACCCTGATGACACAGAGGACAATAAGCTGAACTCTTAACTCCATTCTGATGCAAATGTTGCTGTAAATAATCATTGCCAGTAGTCAAACGAAAGCAAGCAACTCCAACAGCCCAAGGTAAGGAAGTGGGGGTTTTCCTTCCTTTGTTGAGCAGGATATTCCACTTCTTATCCACTACTGCATCAACATATAAAGATATTCTGCTATTTTTCATTTTATTATAGGTAAATAATTCTTTTAATATTACGCAAAGCCAAAAGGGAATTAGGTTGGGCCATAAGGCATGCACATATACATTCAGACATCTTCATACTTTGATAATTACAGAAATTCAATACAATTACTTCATAATATCTACTAAGCAATTTTACTTCAACAATTTTAACATTTTAATAGAGCTCTTTTCATGCAGAATTTAATATTAATAGAATGCTCTAAATTTTAATCACCCAGTTTTACACCCATATAAACATCCACAGATATCTGTTTCCTTCCCAATAACATAGGTATCTTATCAGCTTGAAATTCATGCACATATTAGTTCAAATATCTTTGCAAATCAATATTTACATGATTCAATATAATTACTTCACAACCAACACTAGATGGCTATTCCAGTATTTAACTGCCGCTCTTATATGTGACTACTCACACATGTATGCTTATACCGGGTGTCCGAAAAATGACTGATGGATTTTGTAAATCAATAAAAAAAAAAAAAAAAAGACTAAATGCGATAGATATGTATCGTTTGAAACCTTATGCTTAGGAAATCAGGGAATTTTATCCCACCAAATTTCAAATTTAGTTAACATTTTCACCCACAGGTGGCACTGCAGGCAATCTATAACAGGTATAGTTAAAAGGAAGTATTTCAGCTCGCCATTCCGTAGTTCTCCGTCAAGCTGATAGCGTGTACTGTTAGAGTTCCACAGCCTGGAACACAGTTTTGTTCAAATGAGGCAGTTTCCAAAGAAAATTTCATGTGAGAACAGGACCGTCAGACAATGTGATAAGGACTCTATTCCAAAAATTCAAGCGAATGGGGAGTGTGAATGATGACCATATTGGAAATGTTGGCCGGCCATGCCTTGCAGTTACAGAATCGAATGCTGAAGCCATACAGTAGGTTATCCAACAGCGGCCCCGGACTTCCGTATGCCGTGTTGCATATTGTACTGGACTCCGAAGAATGAGCATTCACCATTTCATGCGCGACAGCCTTCACATGTTCCCGTACAAAATCCAGACTCACCAAGCCCTCAGTCCAAATGCCATTAATGCACACTATAATTTCGCAAACGCCATGCTGCAACTTGTGGATGACGGTGAACTCGATGTTGGCAACATATGGTTCTCAGATGAAGCATATTTTCACTTCAATGACTATGTCAACAAGCAGAACTCACGAATTTGGAGAAGCAAAAATCCTCATATTGCTGAACCTTGATCTCTGCATTCACCAAAAATAATGGTATGGGTTGTGGTTTCATCCAAAGGAATAATAGGGCCATTCCATATCTTGGGATTTTGGAAGAATTTGTTGTGATTCATACTGCTTTGGAGGACTGTTCGAATGCCTCTTGGTTCATGCAAGATGCTGCTCATCCACATTGGACGTCTGCAGTCTTTGATTTCTTGAACGAACATTTCAGTGAGCGGGTAATTGCCTTGGATTACGACATGCATACAGGAAGTGCCATGACATGGCTTTCTTATTCGCCAGACTTGACGCCTGCGACTTTTTTCTTTGAGGGTACCTGAAAGATGTAGTATACCGCCAAACTCCACAAACAATTGCAGAGCGGAAGCATCCCATCTGTACTGCATACGAGACAATTCCAAGAGACATGCTTGAACGGATGTCTGGAAATTTTTGCCTGAGACTGCACCACGTTGTTGCAGCAAATGGGGATTATATTGAAAATGTCTTTGTTTAATTTTTTGCAACATCCCTTAAAAAATTTTCACACCGGTTTTTATTTTTTCATAGTTTTCAGCACCACCTGTGGGTGAAAATGTTAACTAAATTTGAAATTTGGTGGGATAAAAATTCCCTGATTTCCTAAGCATAAGGCTGCAAACGATACATATGTATCACATACCATCTTTTTTTTTTAAATTGATTTACAAAATCCATCAGTCATTTTTGGGACACCCTGTATATAATATGTTCATAAACACTTCTATCACATCCACAAATTCTGATTGTTTTAATACCTGAATGAGAAGGTGGGATGAAAATATAAAATGTACATAAGTACCTTATGTACCTATGTTTCACTGTACATGTGGTCTATGTTTCACTATTTAAACTGATTCAACAAATAATCATCTTACCTGTATCATCATTGTCAATTTTATCAGGATCGGAACAGGAAGATAATCTTCCACAGCCTTTCCCACCAAGATAGTATCTATGAATGAAATGAAAAGAACTGTTATAAAAGTCAGAAGGCAAAATTATTCAGCATATAATTAAAATTATTCTATATAAAATTAATGGCCAGTGTGATGCATATATTTTTGATGCTATGAGTAAACCCATAATATTTTCCATAAGATATAGGAGATATGATAGCAGAGTGGTTAATATCAAACTTTGATAGCTTCCTGCAGGATTCCATTCACCAGAGACAAGCATTCTTTAAAACAGCATTTTATGATTTTACACCTATGCAACAAAAATTTATGTCAGTCCACTTAAAGTCCTCAAAAGATGCTGGCAGGGCTGCTTTTAAAAGTAGATGGTTTTCGAAAGGAAAGTGAACCTGTTTGATCACTCTGATACAATATTTTTTTGTATTTTAATAACAATAATTTTGATGCCAACTTATTAAAGATAGATATGCTCAAAACCTAGGGACATCTGTAGTTAGTTTTATTCCTTTTATGCATTAGAAAAATAATTATTATATGTTCCTAGTAACCCTATATTAACAAAATAATATAATATGCCAACAAGTAAACTTTAATACAGACCTTTCTATTCTTCTGAGCTGTTTGTTAATTTCACTCTGGTCATTTATGAGCTGCATTTGTTGGGTAGAAATCTGCTCCAACTGGGACTGCAAATGGGTGACTGCTCCAAAATTTTGAGCATCTCGAGCTTGTTGAAGACGGGTTTTCAGTTCTTCTTGCTGACTGCCTAAGAGTTTCAGTTGCTCTGATATAGCTTCTAGCCTTTCCTATAAAAGAAATATGTTTTCAGAATTACTGCTCTAACACTTTTGACAACAAAATAAGAAAAACTAAATACAGTCGAACTCCAATTATCCAATTCCATTCCCTCCCCCAGATTAAGTAAAATTATGCTTGTTTTTAAAATTGCGATTTAATTTTTTTTTTTTTTAATACAAAGATCGGCCCACAAAGTTCAATAAATGTGCAACGGAAGTGAAACTAGTGGTGATGTTGTGTTAATTTGTCTTCCACACAAAGTAGCCCAACAGCGGTTGAGCAGTAAAGGTGCTGAAAACTGGCAGTTCGGTCCGGAGTTCGGACACGCCAGCGAATGGGCTGGCTGTATGGGCGTTTTTGTAGTTTTCGATATGTGTAACGTGTGTACGAGCCAATTTCCCTTAGAACGTCCTGCACGAAGGCATCCCTTAGGTAGACAGCCCTCGAGTGCATTTATGTAATCAAATAAACGCACTAAGAGCCGTCGCTAAGCATTTTGCCGCTCGGTGCAATCTTTGAGTGTTCTAAAATCTGGTGCCCGGCACATCACTAATTAAAAAAATGTTTGCCACCCCTAAATTCTACTGTACAATACCTCATCTAAATTCTAAAAATTTTGACATCTCTAAATTTTGTTGCTCGGTGCTTCTCTAAATTCTAAAAATTCTGGCGCCTCTAAATTCTGCCACCCGATGCGGCCGCACCACCTCTGGCGCCTGTGCTGATTATACTTGCATTTTGAACTACTTGCAAATACGTTTTCAAGAAATAGTTAATGTTAACAGGATCAGTACTGAAAACTTAAGGTTAATTTTTAGACTTTATATACATTCAGTGAATATAAAAACAGTGCATATAAGACTTTATATGCGCGTAAGATATTCAGTCCGTAGATGGTATGTGATTATTTTGACTTAAGGAGTGGAATTGCTACTGAGTACCACTGAAAACAAGAAGTTGCAATCAGATAAGAAAAGTGTGCTCAGTGCCTTCTCCAGCTCTGTTAAAAAAGGTCTGTTAGGAAAAGTAAAAGAAATTTATTCTGCGATTAGTATATGAAACAAAATTTCTCCATATTTAATTAAAATACAAAAATAAACTACCATTTCATTAATAATGTATTTAAATTTTTTTTTTTAAAATCTGACGCCAGAAGGAGTTTTGATTAATTTAAAAATTTAATTCTAAATCATATTAACTGATATTTTTTATTAATAATTAATTGAGCCTAACATTAAAAGTGCAAGATCACTTTTATAGTTATTGTTTTTATGAATGTTTAAAAATTTTAAGGTTGAATACATTAATTTTTTAGATTAAAATTGAAATTTATAAACAAACGCGCGCATACTCCACATTAATAGGAGTACTAAGAGAAGGGGTGCCTTCATGGACGACAATTTAAAGATAACCGATTCGCATTTATGCCATGCTTTTATGCCAAATGCCATTCAGCTTTCTGGAAAGGTTTAGGATTACTAACATTATGGCAGAGCATACCAGGGATATCTGCCTAAGGGAAGGGAGGACTTTTTAAGGTAAACTGCCTAGAATTCACGTTACACATAAGGAAAAAACACGAAAGCCAGCCCACCAGTGGCACAGCAGTTAAAGACTGATACATACTTATAGTTCGTCCTGGTTTCAAACCCAAGCGAACGGGCTGACTGCATGTTTGGGTCTCCCTATGCATAGTGTGAATAGGAGTCAGTTTCTCCTAGAAGCCCTCCATCTCCTCCCCTTAGGCAGATAGCCCTTGTGTGCTTTGCCATGTTCAAATAACCAACCGACCATGCAGCAAGTCTGTTCGCCGTAATTCGGTGTCGGGTGGAACTACTAGTGTTCGGCTTCAGGTAGGCCGCTTCCGAGAAAGAACCCGGGACGAATGCTCTTTCTCGGAAGAGCTAGACATTTGGTCATTGATGGGCCTTTCAGTGAATGGTAGTAGCTCAGTTCTGGTTCCATTTCCATAGGCTAAACTAGCTGCATAGCATTTTCGTTATTTCCACTTTCAATGCCTTACATATGACTCAGTTCTCCCTATAAAGTCCTCAAAAGTGTATCATTTTAAGGCATACACACCTTGACTATTTTGCTGTAATGAGTATACTTACTTGGCTATCAGTCAGCGGGGAAGAAGTAAAAAAACTCTTTCTTTCAAGCAGCTATAATATTCTTGTTATATCGTGGTGAGGACAGTGACATATCTAGAACATTTCACTCAGAGTGAGACAGATTTAGGTCGAGCGGCAGAGTCGGCCAGTTAATCAGCCGTACTAGTATTTTCTTGAAAATATTATGCCACTACTCAAGCAAGTATGAGCAGCTGTTGCCAGCCAATTATATGAATGTAATTGGCTGATAACACTATGTTCTAAAATGTTCTCTTTCTATTTTTGAGCACTGAGATTCTCACTCAAGAATACATAAATAATGGTCTGTGTCTCCATCTAAAGAAATGTCATGCCAAACACAAGTGGGTGCTCTTCTTGATGATTACTGATATGGATATTGGGCATTTGGTTTTCTTTTTATCGAACAATGTTTGGAATCATAAGCAACATCTGGTTTCATTGGTCAAAAGAATAAGCATCCTTAGCATATTTACTGTCCACTTTCTTTCTGTTGTTGAGAAGTCTTACACATAAATTGATAAACCTAATTTTCTACAAAAAGTATCATATATGATGCTTAATAATTCATCTTTGCATAATGTTTGCATATTTTCTTGGCGGCGTACATCTAATGAAAGAAATTTCATAGCAAGCACGAACCATGTACATTTATTCCTATTAGTTCTGCAAAGAAACTCATGTTGCTCCTTATTAATTTCTTTAACATTTGTTCTCCGGTGTGTTCGTTTTTCTTTTATATATTTATATCAACTTCAAATGAGCTGTTCGCTTTTTGCTGCTGTTGTCTGTGTGTTTTATCACTTTTCGTCAATTTTTTTTTTCAGTGTTCCATATTTTATTTGATATTCGTGCTTAGTCATATGTTTCTCTATCGTCATTTTCACTCCCGTAAGTTAGCGTATCGAAATCGGACTTTTTTTTTTTCTATGAAGGAGAGTGATGCACATATTACTGGGAACTGAACTTCGGGATCTCCTTCATGAAATACTTTATACAACACAGCATAATTCATGAGGTGCCTGCCACTGCAAGAGAGTTTCTTAGTTGATTCACAGTAAACATTCTATTCTAGGTCTCTCTCAACATGAAGTTCAGTACATTTCTTAGTGATTAAAAAAAAAAAAAAAGTGAAGGAATTTATAATTTACTGAGTTCTAGTTACAATGCAGTTGTGTTAATTATTACTTTATCTCTGCGGAATTTACACAGAAAATGTAAACATAACAAATCAACCTACACACATTTAAGTAGCATAAAAAACATATTTTAATCTAAAATAAATATGTCTCCTGATACTTCGTAAAATACAATATACTTCTCGGAATTCACCATAAAAACTCTGTTTAGAGATCATAAAAAAGTATTGAAGATGTAACTGAACATAAATAATATAAAATCAAACTACCGTAATGGCTCAAATATAATAAGACACTTCTTCCCTTAATATTTTGGAGACCGGTGTACTGCGCTTCAAAATTTAGCCCTATTTACAACATGTTTTGAAACGTAAGTAAAGCAGAAATTCATAACTTTTGAAAAAAAAAATATTTATGAAACATAAGCTAACAGTCCTTTTTACCGTATTTAATGAAATACTCAGCTTCATATCAAAAGGAGTTTATAAGTTTTAAATCAAGGACGTACAGTAGCCTAACATTTAAAGAAATAAATTAATGATTTATCACTTATTCCTTAATTTTAAAGTTAAAAGAGTACGTTTGCATTGTTTAATCTCTTAATATAGTCTTATGATTTATTGTTATTGTTATTATCATTATTATTATTCAATTATTATTATTCAATTATTATTATTTTGTAAAACACCTTCACATGCCAAGCTCATATGTTATGATCGCGTATATGTGAATTCCACTTTTTTATACTCGAAAAAATGTAGTTTTTCCTTATGAGGGTCATCTTGTATTCGGCCCAATAGGATAAATAACATGCAATTAACAGTAAATACGGCAAATATTAACAGTAAACAGATAATTAAAACTGAAACTCGTTTATACTGTACCTGTCGTTTCTTTCGCTCCTCCTCGATCTGAGGCTTATCGCCTGCTTGTCCTGGACTGGTATCTAAACGCAGTCTTTTACAAGTTTCTTCGTCAAAAGATTTGTTATATAATTGAGACCTGCAAGTATTGTTCACACTACCTTTACTGTTGCAGCAATCAAGAGAAAGCAGAGTAGTACACATTTATATCAACTTATCAAAAGACTTACTATACAGAAATTTCTAAAAATCAAACAAAAAACAAGAAACTGGATTCAGCTAAATTGTTTTCTTAATGCGTAAAGGTTTTTCATAAGACCAATTAAAACACAGTAATAAAATAAATTCGCATAAAGGAGTGGAGGATAATTTTGTCTTTAAAGAAGTAATCTCATTTGCAAGCACAGTAATAAAATAAATTTTCAAAAAGGAGTTGAGAATATTTTTTTCTTTAACGATGGAATCCGATTTGCAAGTACAGTGAAAAGAGCTGATGATTTTAAGAGCAATAAACTTTGAGGAAGAATCAAGATAATTAAAAGTATTTGTTTTGAGAAGCATTAAACTTATAACTTCTATGTCAATACACTATATATTCAAAATACAATGAAAGACAGGATAAAAGGAATCTAATTAATGATCACGCAAGTAGTAATTATTAATTTTGGCTGATAAATACTTCACCTCCCAAAATTAATTCTGTATAAAAATAATTAAATTTTGCTTAGTCTGCTTGATTAAAACCCCATTTTTCTTTAAAAGATTCTGCTTAAAATTTAAAATAAGTTTTACAGTTGATTAAAAATGAGCAATTAGTTTTATATCCAAAGTTCAGAAGTTCAAAAAATGTCTTTGAATCAGATTCTCTTAAATGCTTTCTGATTTCATTTCACATTTCTAACTGGATCAAGACTGTTGCTATTGTTGTTTCAAATGGCGGAACACTTGCAACTTAATGCATTCGTAGGTGATGGCCAATACTCACCAGTCATTTATCAATCTCATCACCGTGAAGTTCGCACAAGATGCAACACAAGGTGCACGATTTTACACCCATGAGAACGCGATAGTTCTGCCCCCATTTAGATGGATAACACTCGGGGAACGGGTCCTAGAGTCTCTCATCCCTCTTCTTTTACTACCAGACTGGCAGATCTTTTGGCTCGCCAATAAGATCTTAAGTGCTTCCATGCGGCAAAACACTATACACTTAAAAACATCCATTCCTTCTCTGGGATTCGAACCTGGGCCCATCGATACGGCTTCCAGCACAGTTAACCACTATATTAATCAGGTGGCCTGGATCAAGACTTTTTTTAACCTTATTAAAAATTGAATAGCCATCAGAAGCTAATAAAATTATATAGAATCTAAAAAAATATAACAAACAATACTAAGAACTCAGCCCGGGGGAAATGCGACAAAACCTTCCTCCTCCCACTGAAATCTTCCTATGCAAATCATTTTCTTTTCCTTTTGATACAACCACCCATTTAAAAATTATAGTTATTGCAATACCTTCAACTGCATAAACTTGTCTTCCTGAGGCTATTTTTGTCTAAGAATAATAAAAAATTGGAAATTATATTAATAACGAATAAATCTTTTACATCCAAGATAGAAAAACATTTTATAAGAGCAAGTCAGTTTATTAATATGTTAAAATTTCTAATTTATTAATAATTAATTATTTAAGTTAAACATGTGTTAAATTCTGTAACAGTTAACAAAAAGGGAGAGAGAGAAAGAGAAAGAAGAAGAAGAATGTAATTCGGCATCGTATGACTCTTTAACAAGCCATAAAAATTTCTAACAGTAATTAACGAGAGATATTAACACTCGATGATTCTGAAGCTTTTGGAAAATACCAAGTATTATCCACTTAACCGCAACAGTTTTTATCAAATAACTACCATTTGCAAAGCTGTAATCCTGCAGAGCTTTTCGAACTTTTGAAAAACAAAACTTTGCAGCAAGTGTGCGAATAAATAAAAGGAAATGAATAAGAAGTGATCAGAAAAGAGTTTCAATTTAATGATGTATTTTAAATATAATTGTAAACAAATAGTATATTACCTGGAAAATGCTATACTCAGGCTACAGTTTTCTACCAAATAAGAGAGACTTGTGTGTAACAAAATGTATGTATATTAGCTTCCTTATTCTCAGAATAGCGTTTTCAGTAATCATATTTTAACTTAATGTGTAATTCCCATAACAAACAAAAGAAAAGCTTTCAATTTACAGAAGGAAAGTTTGGACATGCTTACGTAATCACACACGTAGTAACTTATCTATGCATTTTTCTAAAACTTACATAAATTCACTCATAAATTTCAACATTTCTAACTTTATAAGAAAAATCTGTTATTTTACACCAGCGAGCTTCGTTTTAGAAACGGTTAACTAATATGGCTTTCGTTCATTACAAGAGAATATGCATATAGTACACATTTTTTACAAATAACACCAGAGTTCATAAATTTTAAACAAACTTGTAGCATATCGCACGAAGACTGATACAACATAGAAGATAGATTAAATAATGAAAATCGAAGAAAATAAAACACATTTTAGTCACTTTATCCAAAAACTTTTAACCAGTTAATTATCACAATTTACAAAATAGGTGAAATGAAAACTATTCGAATAAAATTTCACATTACAAAGCACCTGCAATATTTTAAAAAGGAAAGAATTCCTGAGAGCTGCAGCTACTGTAATCTTCTTATAGTTTGGAGAAACGCAAAGCAACAAGATTTTGCAGCATTGTGAGGGTTGGGAATAAAACGAAAGACTTCTAAGCTGCAGTCGGACTATAAGGTATTTCTCCCGCCTTCTTAGCATGCCTTTGTGGTGTAATGGTCAGCACACTCGGCGGGTATCGACAGATCCGAGATTCGAGTCCCGGCGAGGCCACTGCTCATTTTTCATGTCTCCTGCCTTCGAAATAACCTAATGTCTCTACAGTGGCGCCCGAACTAAAAGGGTGGTGGATGATAATTCTCCACCACCAGGATTTGGCGATTGGGTCCCCTAATCCCCAGTCGTCCTTTAAAAGGGAGAGTATATAAAGTATTTCTCCCGTCTTCTTAGCATGCCGTCGTGGTGTAATGGCCAGAACACTCGGTGCGTATCGAGAGGTCCGAGTCGAGTTCCGGCGAGGGCACTGCTAATTTTTCCTGTCCCTTACTTCAAAATATCCTATTGATTCTACAGGACATTCTACCAATGAACTTAAAAAGAATCAAATTTATTCTCTTAAAAGAATAAATTTGAATCGTGTTCATAAATGCACACACACCTCAGGCTGGTTCTTACAAACGTAAAAATCGGATTCCTTTGCATTTACAAAGAAACCTGTTTATTAAATAGGGTACTGCACTAGAGTATAATTTACAACAAAAATGGTACAAACACTAGAACTTATACCTCGTAGGAAATATCATTCCTTCTAGTGAAATGGTAACAATAAAGTTACGCGCTCTCAGTGCTTGCCGTGCAATGCTCGACTGGAAAACTGACTTGCTTTTAAAATATTGACTACACATGTTTCTATCATATTCCTAAGTAAAACCCTCATTAAGTGGGATAATACCAGATACGACGTCAAAGTTAATTCAAAACCACGGCAGTTTAAAAACACAAGAAAGAGAAATAAGAAAATAGCTAAGAAATCTATATAATTAACAGAAACATACTATTAACAATTTACCTGAATTTTCAAGCAGTTTAATCTGGAGAATAAATTCTTTTGGCTATGATAATTAAATCAGTATTCAAAATCCTATTTTCCTCACTCTCTTGGTGTACATTCTTTATAAGTTTCCTTCCATTTCACATTACTCTTGTATTTCGATTTGAACCAGTGTGAAATAGAAAAATAATCGCTGCACAGTTTATTTATAAGAATTGAGCAATTTAGTTCTAATGGCTGATTTAACAATGTTTACACCTTCTAGTTAAGGTAGAATTTAATGGTTAGTGACCGAAATGTTTTCCTCGTTATCCAATTGTAGGGTTTATATTTATTTTAACTAACATTTATTTTAAGTTTAAACTATCTTTCCTGTCAAGCCTTACTTTCCCCTGGAACTGCCAATGCCAGAATATGTAAATTTTAGTAGAACGCGCAAGGATTCAAATTATCAGCGGAAGTATTATGATTTAAATAGAAGGAAACGAGTTCGGTGTAATATTCTTACTTCACGAGCGCGGAGGTAGTGAGCGAGAAATTGAAGAACCCCGCGTTTCGGCCTATGTGCTTGGCGGGAAGTAGTGTTAATCGTTCAAGCGAGCTTCAAGTCTGCTGAATTAGCAGCGGTGTTGTAAAACGCGGTGAGTTAGTTATTTTAGAGAGCCTCGTAGTTAGAGTCTTGTCTTTAAGTTCTTTTCAGGTTATTATTTTTATTTGACCGCCGAGTTGGCGCCGTCTGTAAGCGTCAAGAGCACGCAATTGTAATTTATTACGTTGAATAAAAAGGGACTTCTTAAACCCTTTACAAGACTCTGTGTTTTAAACTGTTTTCACAGTCACCCCTTGGTTGCGTGCAAGTTGGAGGCGCGCAACGTTACATTGGCGCCCGAACAATTATCGAACTGAAATGGCCGAAAACTGGATGGAAGCCGCTGGACAACACCAAGAAATGACAACTCAGTTGGAAGGATTTGGATACCTGGTCCAGACTTTGAGAGCGTCAATCAAGCCAAACTTCTATTTCGACGGAAAAAATTCGGTGGCGGTATTTCTAGAAGGTCTAGAAAACCACTTTCAGCTCTACCCTGTGCCTGAAAGACAAAAAGTTGCCATCGCCACATCAGCACTAAGAGGACAGGCCGCGCTATGATGGAAAAACATAGGCAAATTTTTATTAGGGGAATTTGGAAGCCAGACATATATATTTGAAAATTTCAAAAAATCGTTAGTAAAGGCCTTCCCCATAATGAAAGATCGCGCACAGCTGGAAGCCGAGCTATATAGTTTCTATCAACGGGATACAGCAGAATTGACGGACTTTATCTACGAAAAATCAAGTTAACGGATATGCTGTATGGAAAGAAACCCGATGCGGAGATTATTGAAATAATATTACCAAGATTGTTACCCACTGTTCAAGACTACTTTGAAATTAGAAACCCAAGCACATTGCAGGAACT